GATGTGTCGAAGTGTGAATGTCTTTCAGTTTATACCACTTGGAATTCATTGAGCAGCTTGGATGTATAGGTTTTTTATCTTCTTCTTCTTTTTTTGAGACGGAGTCTTGCTCTGTGGCCCAGACTGGAGTGCAATGGCATGATCTCAGCTCACTGCAACCTCTGCCTCCTGGATTCAAGTGATTCTCGTGCCTCAGCCTCCTGAGTAGCTGGGATTATGGGCACTCACCACCACTCCTGGCTAATTTTTTGTATTTTTAGTAGAGATGGGGTTTCTCCATGTTGGCCAGGCTGGTCTCGAACTCCTGACCCGAACTGATCTGCCCACCTCAGCCTCCCAAAGTGCTGGGATTATAGGCATGAGCCACTGCACCTGGTTTGGATGTGTAATGTTTTTCTATTTGGGAAGTTTCAGCTGTTATTTCTTTGAATAACTTTCTGCTCCTCTCCCCTCCTTCTGGTGCTACCATACATGCATATATATGTTGGTGTGCTTAACGGTGTCCCACAAGTTTGAGGCTCTGTTTTTTCTTTTTTAAAATAGTTAATAGATTATCAAAAGTTCTTTTTGTATGGCATTGAGATATTTATTTATATATTTAACTGCATGCATATCTTTGGCTTTCACATAAATTTTCCTTCATACAGGCTATTGGTGTAAGCATTTGCTCTTTTTAAGAGTTTGATTCTTTAAAAAAAAATACCAAATCCAAAATTCAGAAATGGTAGTCTGGCGCTACATGGAAGCACACTGAAAATAACAAGCTGATGATACATTATCACACTGTATAATAGTATTTTATATTTTCTTACTTTCCAGTAAGTGTTTTCACACCCTGAAATCTCAGTGTCATGTTTGAAATGAGAGCTGTGGAGAGATTCTGATAGGACTCAAGAGTTGTGAAGGCACCTGATGGAGCTCCTTCATTAATTTCTGTAACCATTCAGGGCGCTGACGTCTGTAGGGACTGTAAGTTAACACAAACAGTAAATGTGAAATGAATCCCCAAACTACTTTGTTTTAATTTGCACTAAAAAGCCTCCACCCTCAAAGTCCCACGTCATTAAGGTTATATGATAACAAATGAGGAAACACAAACTAAGCATCACTCGCTTGGCGACATTAACTGGCCCACCACACTCCCACCGCAGATTTTAGAAGTACATTTGCAAAAGATGCTTCTCTGTGCATTATGGCAGAAGTCTATTAAAGAATATTTAATTTATTGACTAATATTTCTAATAAGCACATTCAGAGGATACTTTTTCTGTGTTTTATATACTGGCTGTCTGCCATTAAGAGCAGTAAAAATGAGGAAAAAAATAAAAAAACTCAGTCTCAAATGATTTAACAGCTTAGTTCTGTATTTGCTTGATAGTGTATGCAGTTATAGTACACACTATCAAATACATCTTCTATATCTATTTAGAAAACTTATTCTGATATTAGAATCATGTTGAAGAAAGTCTTCTCCATTATTTTAGTGAGTTTGTTAAAATGGTTCACTAAGAACCATCTTCAAAATTTCAGGTGCTTCAAAAGTTAAAAGAAACAATTAACTTCATTACTCTTACAAAAAAAAACCCACAAAAAACCAAAAAACTGACAACTTGAAATTAGCATTATTAAGCTACCAAAAATTGATACCACTCAGGAAAGTTTTTTTTCCCCCTGAATAATATTTATTTTTTTTGAGATAGAGTCTCTCTCTGTCGCCCAGGCTGGAGTGCAGCGGTGCAATCTTGGCTCACTGCAACCTCTGCCTCTCAGGTTCAAGCAATTCTCGTGCCTCAGCTTCCCAAGTAGCTGATTACAGGCATGTGCCACCATGCCCAGCTAATTTTTGTATTTTTAGTACAGATGGGATTTTACCATGTTGGTCAGGCTGGTCTTGAACTCCTGGTATCAAGTGATCTGCCTGCCTTGGCCTCCT